ACGTCTTAGTCCCATGGAGCAGCTGATGGGTTCAAACGCTGACCTCGTGGTCAGCAGCCGAGCACTTTAACCACTCTGCCATTGTTGTTGTTGTTGTTGTTGTGTGCTGTCGAGTCAGCCCCGACTCATAGCAACCCCTCCTTGGGTTTTCGAGGCAGTATCACTACGGAAGTAGGATTGCCCAACCTTAGGGCTCCTTTATCCAACTAAACCCAAACCCAAGGCCATCCAGTCAATTCCAACTTATAGCCACTGTACAGGCAGAGCAGAACTGCCCTGCAGAGTTTCCAAGGCTGCAACTCTTTACAGAAGCAGATTGACTCATCTTTTTACAAAGGAGCAGCTGGTAGGTTCAAACCACTGACCTTTTGGTTAGCAGCAAACCACTGCATCACCAGAACAACCTCTTCTGCAACTAAAAAAAAAAAACTTCACTGACATCAAGTCAATTCTGACTCATAGCAACCCCCTTTGGGTTTCCAAGATGGTAAATCTTTATGGAAGTAGATTGCCCAGTCTTTCTTCTGCAGAGTGGCTGGTGGGTTTGAACAACCAATCTTCTGGTTCACAGTTAAATGCCTTTGGCACTATGCCACCAGAGCTCCTTTCTGCAACTAAACATCTCCCTAAATTCCAACTCATCTTCCCAATACCACTTGACTATGGAAACCCTTGTTTCTAAACCACATTCTAACTTACACGTTTATACAACAGCAACACAGTCAGCTGGCTAAATGTCTCACATTTCAGGAGAAAACGTCTGATCAAAGGTGCAGCAAGCCCTGCAGCTGGCTGGCAACTGGGCCCCAGGTTCAGCCACGGATGGGCTCAGCCTGCCTCTTTTTCTATCCAATGCTGCCTCCACCCATGTGCCCTGGGCTTTCTCTCCAAGTGTCCACCGCAGAGATGGGTAAGGTCACCCTAGACCCCCACAGCGGACCCGATAATGCCATCTTACTGCTGTCGAGTCGCCGCTGGCTCATAGCGACCCCTTGCACGAGGGAGAAACGTCGCCCAGTCTGCCCCACCCGCGTGAGTGGCTGCAGATCAGACTGCTGTGACCCAAACGGCATCACTGGCTGTGAAACTCCAGCGCAACCTGTCAGCAGCCCACCGGCACACAGCCTCCATCCACAGACCAGTGGCGGCCGCCTGTGGGGGGCCTGGCTCAGAACTGAACCTGGCTCTCTCTAGCACTGAGCCACTGATGCCTCGTGATCTAAGTTACAAGCTGCCATCAAGCGAATTCTGTCTCACAGCGACCTCACGTGTGGCAGAGTACAAGTGTGCTCTAGAGGGTTTCAAGGCTGTGACCTTTCAGAAGCAGGTGGCCAGGCCCTTCTTCTGAGGTGCCTTCTGGTTAGCAGTTGAGTGCCTGACTGTCTGTGCCACCCAGGGACTCCTGACCTCAGAGGAAGGACCACTAGTATTTACTAGTGAGCTTGCATGTGTGACAAGCACTGTGCTAGGCAACGTTTTTATCAGTATTATATCATTTAATTTCCATCCGAGCTTTGTCTGAGAGATGGGCTTTCTTAACCCATAAATAATCCTCACAGAGGAAGGACATTTTTCTGTTCTACCTGGTGCCTGGTAGCATAGTGCCTAAGGTACTTGACTGCTAACCAGAAGGCTGGCGGTTCAAACCCACCAGGCACTACTCGGAAGGAAGGTTGGGCAATCTACTTACATGGTGATACTGTCTCGGAAACCCAAGGAGGGGTTGCTATGGGTCAGGTCTGACTCAACGGCAAATAACAACAGCAGCAGCAATCTGGTGCCCTTGCAACCTCTCTTCTAAGAGGCTATCAACGTCCCCTGGGTCCTGAAGGCCCCTCCTTGAAGGGAAGACACTGAGAAATCACGAGCTTTGTCCTGTGTCTCACAGGACCACCACCGTTTCCCTGCAGCCATTCATACACAGGGTTCTGCAGATCTGGGTCCCGATGCCCTCCTGGCCTCCTCTTAACCCACATGCATTGCTCCAGGCATAAAAACAAATGCACTGCCGTGGAGTCAAATCCCACTCCTAGCGACCCCTCCTTGGGTTTCCGAGGTAGTACCTCTACAGAACTAGATTGGCAACCTTCCTTCTGAGGAGTGGCTGGTGGATTGGAACCAGCAGCCTTCTGGTTAGCAGTCAAATGCTTTAGGCACTGTGCCAACACAGTGCCTGCTCCAGGCATAGGGAAGTACTTATATGACCCCCAAAGCAGGTAAGATGCTTGGAAGAGACAACGACTTTCCATCTATTTACTCCATCACAGAGAACTTTCTCCATTTTTTTTTTTTTTTCCTTCAAGAAAAACACACTCGCTATTAGGGGAAGCGCATTAGCCTGCTCTGACCTCAATTAGCACAAGCTGCAGATGCCTAGCGAGATGACCGCCTGCACAGGGAAAAACCATCCTGATGTGAAGACACGTAATGCAGGTTCAGCGATTACTCCCAGGGCCTCCAGCTGGAGATGCTGCCTGTTATTGTAAACAAGCCTTTTAATGATCATTTGGAAAGCAGCCCACTCATGGTTATGGCATGGAGATCACAAAGATAAAGAAAGAAAGGGACCCGCTACCCTGACGTTGGGTGAGGAGCACATGGGGCCTGGGGGAACACTTTCAGAGACAGTACAACACATGGACTCCAGCAGGGCTGCCTCTGGGACACATGCCAGGTGTGATAGTTGGAGCTGTGTGTCAACTTGGCTGGACCACAACTCTGTATGGTTTAAGCAGTTGTGCTGTGGGTTTTTGCCATGATGGGACCAGATGTATATGTTTGAGCAGCCAATCCATGGAAAGGGAGTTTCCCTAGGGGCATGGCCTGCTTCCAGTATATCTGTGGACATCCTGGGAAAAGAGACTCTTCTTCTTCTGTGCATTGGGATCCTGTTGTGCTGCCTACACCTGTCCGTGAGCGAACAATCCACCATTCGGCCTGGAGCTCTTGGATTCGTCATTCGTTGGAGACAACAGCCGGTATACTGCCTGCCAACCTTGAGCTCCTCAGCCCCTGCAGCTGCGTGAGTCAGGAAAAGCCTCCAGCTTGACGTTTGATCCAAGAACTTGGGACTTGCCAGCTTCTATAAGTGTGTGAGCCATTTTCCTAACATAAATTTCTCTTTTTCTTTCTCTTTCTCTATATAAGTTTTACTGGTTGTGCTTCTCTAAAGGACCCACCCTAACACACCAGGGGTGCATGACGGTTTGACTCAAAAGTGGTTTCAGGGATGACGAAGACAATGGAATTATATGCAAGTGGGTAAAATGACTACAGTAGTTTTTAAAACCACATGTGATTTTAAATATATATGTTCAAAATAAAGACATTAACATTCTAATGTCAATCGCTGCCTAGGTACCACACTGTTAAAGCACTGACACTTGAGTTGGTCACATCATGTGTTACCAGGTATGGGCACACAGGAAGGGTGTACCCATCTCTGAACACACAGTAAGTCATGCCTCAACACCTTCCTCCAGGTTGGCACCCTACCTGGAACTCCTTCCACACCTTCTTTCCCAAGCCAATGGCTACCAAAGCATTTGCCATTGCAGCTCATGGAGATCCATGTGTCACAGCAGAGCTGGGCTCCACGGGGTTTCCCAGCTGTGATCTTCTGGAAGCAGACTGTCAGGTCTTTCTTCCAAGGTGCCTCTGGGTGAGTTAGAAGCACTAACCTCTCAGTTAGTACTGGAGCACTAATGGTTTGCACCATCCAGAGACCCCACCAACTGCTACATACACTCTGAAATCAGACACACATCATCTCCTCTAAGAAGCCTTCTACAAGCAACACAGGCTGGTGTAGGGACCCTCCTCTGAGCTCACCTGTGGCTTGAGCCTCCCTATCTGCTGACACTTGTGTGTTCAGGCCCATGGATGTCCCTGTTTCCCCTGTGGACTGTGAGCTATTGGAGGGCCAAGCACACTCATGTTCATCACTGCCATCCTGCTGACACACGGTGGAGCTCAGTGGACATGTGTGAAGGAGTGAATGAAATGTCTCAGTCCTTGGAGGCATAAACAAGTTAATGAATGATTCAAAGAAAGTGTAAGCTCAGAGAAGCAGCCTGCTCTCTCCATAAAGTTCGTAAATACACTGCCTCGTTCAATCTGCTCCTGCAAAGATGGCAGCTAGGGAAGCACTCTGGGGCAGCTCTGTCCTGCAGAGGCTGCTCTGAGTCGGAATCCACTCAAGGGCACACTCCCAAATCAATAGCAAAATGATACACAGTGGTTGCCTTTCCACGGATGCTTCCCCCCCCCGCCACATCATTCCAAATTTTCTGTAATGAACATGTAAGTCTTCTAGGATGGAGAAAATTTTTATTAAAAGAGGGAAAACATTAAGAAAAAAAATACTGCCTCATGGGCAAAGTCATCTTTTCTGAAGTCTGCAAGAAAATTAAGCAAGAGACTGACTAGGACTTCCCAACACGTTTCCCTCCTGCTGTGGGCGCACTGCCAGCCAACCTCCCCAAGTCTCCCCTGTTGTCAGTGGGAGTGATTGCCACAAGCTGCAGGCCTGGCCCATACGGTCTTCCCATCACAACCTCACTGTCTTGCTTCGCTTTTCACCGGACACCAAGGGCATGGTCGGAGGCACTGAGGCCTCAGAGGATGGGGGTCCTGGCTGGAAAGAGTTAGAGCCCCTGACTCTCATTCAGTTGGAATATGACCGAGAAATCAACCTTCACTATAAGCCACGGCAATGTGGAGATCAGCTGTAACCACCATTAGAGTAATGATACAGGAGACTTAGAGCTGTTGCCAGTTCAAAACCAGTGTCCTCTGCACCTTCATCTAATCAGCAAGTATTCACTAAGCACCTATTGTGTGCCAAGCACATCACTATAACAGAGAGGAGCCAGAAAGCCTTTAGTTGAGTGGAGTGTGACAAACTGAGAGACCTGGTGTGAAGTGACCAGCAATGCTGACAATGAAAGGGTCCACAACTCCTTCCCTTGTGTTCATTATGGGCTTGGACAGGCACCTACCTTGGTTCCCAGGGGACCAGGTAAGCCAGGTGGTCCACGAAGTCCCTGGTAAAAAGAATGCAAGGATTGTTACAGGGCCATGAGTGAGCCTTTACCCATCCACCGTGTGCCATACTATCCTATGTGTGGGGTGCGGATGAGGATGAATTCCCACTGTGATCCCAAGCTATCCTACATGTGGGTGCAGCCCTTGACAGACTCCCACTGTGACCCCAGGCTATCCTATTTGTGGGGTACAGCTGTGGAAAGACTTCTACTGTGATCTCAGGCTATCCTATTTGTGGGGTACAGTCCTGGACAGATTCCCCTGTGACCCTAGACTATCCTACATATGGGATACAGTCATGGACAGGCACCCCCTGAGACCACAGTCCTGGATAAAGGACATGGAATCTTTGGGGTCCCTTGGATCTGGGGTGTGAATGATGATGCCACCATCGCCAGCCGTCTCTGCAAAGTCAGGCAATGAGTCTTTTCCTCTGTTAATTTTCCATGGGCACAAGAGTCCTTGTGGATCCCACTTACCGGCTCCCCGTCTTTCCCTTTTCCGGGCAGCCCAGGGAGCCCAGGGGCACCGGGGTCACCCCTGAGCCCAGCTGGCCCTGGGCGCCCTTCTTCACCTGCCTCTCCCTGGAAAGAAAAGTCCAAGTTCAGGATCAGAGGCTTCAGAGGCTGACTCTCCTGTGGAGTACCAGCCGAGGTGTGTGGATGTGTTTGCCTCCGTGGGCCTGTCTCAGAAAGCCCACTCCAAAGACACACACAGAGCTGGACCGTGGGATGTGGATGTGGGACTGGACAAGACCTTAGTGGAACCTGCTCCAACCTTTGGCTCAGTGCAGAACACCCAGCAGTCGTGTTTCTTCCTGGGGGTCTGGGTTTATGCTTGAACTTCTCTGGGAGCAGGGAGCTCACCACCTAAGTAGGCTTCCACTCCTGCACAAACAGCTCTACTACATCCATTCACTCTCAGACACACCAGGATTGTGAGGATGGCACAAGTCGGGGCAGCGTTTCGTTCTGTGGTACTCAGGCTCGCTGCGAGCCAGAGCCAACTCGACAGCACCTAACAACTACATTCAGCTGCAATCTTCCAGACATCTGAGTATGTCCCCTGCAGCTCTGGAGACAAATTCTCACTCCACCTCACATTCTAGCCTTTCAAGAGCCTGGGGCCCTAAGTGGAGAGAGAAAATGAGCATGTAGAACCCTCATACTGCAGGCCAATGTATGCACGCCTGACCACGGAGACATGAGC